GGGGGGGGGGGGGGAAGGGGGGATAATCACAGGTTGTTATGTCAGACGCAACAAAATGTATGTTTCTCCATCTATTTTAGGCCTTGCACAAGGTGTATAACCTTGAAACCCTATTTTTAGTTTTTCATTATATGTATTTTTGTATGTTTAATACATTAATTTATGAATTTAATTTATAATAATATTTCAACTTATGCCATTCATCTTAAATGTTTACTATATAAATAAATTTTATAATAATATATATACAAATAAATACTATATTTTAACATATAAATTATCTTTAAATTATATGTAAAGAAGTACTTTAAGCATGTAAATTATATTTTAAATTTATGATAAATTTTTTGTTATAATAAAGGTATTTTTTTTATTGTTGAATTGTCAAAGTGGATAATGTAGCCTAATCTGACCGGTCCACTATGTGTTGGGTAATAGGTGAATCAACTCAATCTGACTCACCTTATGATGAGCTTAAAAAAAATCAATATGACCCAATCCATCACAGGTTGATAATTTAATCGGATTGACTCAATTAAGTAAAAAAATATAATAAAGATAATGTACTGTCTAAAAAAAATGATAACTTTTTTTTAGAATTACATCAATGTCAACCAATAGGACAAATAAAATGTAAACAAATATATAAATCATTCACAACCAACTTAATCAACTTATAAAATCAAAATTGTTACATAAATTATTAACAAATAATATGAAATTGATTCTAATTATTATAGTTTACAACTATGTATAAAATTTAGTTGATGACATAAATTTATAATTACATACACTATCATATAAGAACCTTTAAAAAAATTAAAAATATACTAGGTGAGCCAACTTTGCTCACCACGAGTTAGCTATTGATTAGTCAAATTGTAAGTGAGTAAAACCAAATTTTATTTATATCTAAAACGAGCTTAAATTTTCTGATCTAACTCGACTCAAATTTATGATAAATTGAGTTAACTCTTAGATTTTAATCTACTTTAACAACTCAAATTTGTTGATAATTTATTTTAAAAATAGTAAAATATTACTTGTAAATAATTATGATAGTTAATAATTGAATTATTTAAAAAATTAAAAAAATTTGTAAAAATTCATTTATTGTATAAGAATAAAATTTGTGTTTAATATATAGAAATTATTTATTTTAAAATATTAATATTTAATTTATAAAAAATTCTGATAAATAAAATTTAAATTAGATAAAAATTAACAAATTGATATAAATTCTTTTGTTAAAATTTTTTCTAAATTGACTCACACAATATAACAATTCATGCTTCATATTAGAGATTGATTTATATTCATTATGTAAGATATTTACACGAATATTTTGATAAATATTAACTTTATTTTTATATAACATAATAATAAAGTAATTATATTATTTGTATTATATTGTTAAATAAGATGGTGTAATAAGTAATCAATTTTCTAAGTAAATTTACAATTGCATTATATATAATATGATACACAAAAAAAATGTTTTATCAATCATCCCAAACTAGCTTACTTTTATCTCTATATCTAAATTGAATTAATATTTATGTTAAATAAACGATGATTAAAATATTGTTATATTATAATTTAAATAATAAAAAATTAGAATTTAAATTGTACAAAAATAAATGTTTATTTTACCAAATGGAAAAAGTGAAACAAATAATTTTGGTTTTGTTCAAAACTGTGATTATTTAGAGACGTAGAATGGAGGATGTTATGTGGGAATGGGTTGGACTATTGTCGGTAATCCAAGCCCAACAAAATCAGTGAATTAGGGTTTTAGGGAAAGGCCTTATTTACCAAAATCGACGCTTTTATACCTTTTATCTGTTAGGCAGCAAACACAAGAGTGCGGTTCTTAGCTACACTTTAGATTCGGGAAGCAATGGATTCGTTCTCAAATCCATCGAGTGGGTCGTCTCATCAATTATCTGCGCAGGATCTCAAAAACCAGTTGAAGAATCAACTTGCCTTGGAGTATGCTCAACAATTGCTTGAGGTACTGTATCTATTTCCCCCTTTTAACTGCTCTCGTGGGTTTCATTGCACGATTCTCAATCAAATTATGTTGTCGGAGAAAGGAGTAAACTGTAATGGGATGTGTAAATAGGTGGCTTAGGCCATGAAGGGCACAGTCTTCAGTTCTAGCATGCATTTTGATTTGTTGAGTGTTTCCCCATCTATAGAATATTTATTTCTCAACTTCGATCCCATGTTTTAGTATTGGTAACTAGTTCTATTAGAAAGAAAGTAACAGAGCCACTTTAAATTAAAACATAACCAAATTATAGGTTTCATCAGTTCAATTTGGTTCATGCTAAAAGTTCAGCCCGAATAAGTTTTTTAACCTTAACAAAGATGAAAACCAACTAGGGAATTTGTTACGAGCAAATTGTCTAAAGATATACAAAAGATGGGGTATACTTACCTCAACCTCGGTGATTTTTTTTTTTCGGTTTCTCTTTGCCCGATGAAATGGTAAAAGCTTACATCTTGCTATTATTAATGCTGATATATTGAAAATCTCGTGAAGCAATTGATTTGTTCTATCTTTTTTTAACGTTTTTCCCCAGCCAGTTGTAATTTGTAGATTGTTGAAAAATACGAATTATCTTCTGGGTTGTTGCAATCCCCGGAGATTCCCATTTATTTTGCAGAAATGAGTACTGATTTTGTTTGTTCAGTGCCTTATCTGTTAAAATTCACCTTAGGAGTTTCATTTATTTTGCAGACAGTGGGAAGAAAGTGTTTTGAGAAGTGTGTCACAAAACCAGGTTCAAGCCTCAGTGGGAGTGAAAGCAGTTGCATCTCTAGGTGCGTAGATCGATATATTGAAGCCACAGGCATAATTGGCAAAGCGTTAATTAGTGGTCCACAATGAAATGGACAGCCTCCTCAGGAAATCCTCTAGTTGCTCAACATTTTCAGAACCAATTTATAGACGTTGGAGATTATGTGTTCTCCGGATTCTTTTCTTGTCCTTTTATTAATAGACAATTTATGCATTTTTATTTTATTATACAACTAGTATATGCCCTGTGAGATTCACGTTTTTATTCTCAACGCTCTGTTTTATTCTTTGGGCCGTTTTCTTAATTGAATTTATGTTCCGATAAGAAGTCCTGGGGCGGGTGAGGAATGACGGTTTAGATTCTTATTTGTCTTCTGAATTATATTTAATCTTTTATAGAAGTATTATTTTCACTCATTAAGAAAGATAGTTTAATATTACTATACGTTGATAGGGGTGTAAGCGGGTATAGTAGTCTACTAATCTGAATTGACCTAAATCAATTTAATGAGTTTGAATTAAATTTTTTTAGTATTTGGGTTAGATTTAACCCAATCCGGGTTTTGGGGTTTAAGGTTTGTGGTTTGGGTTTTGGGGTTGGAGGTTTGGAGTATGGAGTTTGGGATAGTTAGAAGCATGAGGACCTAGGTTCAATCTTCATTACGATCATCTTTGTAATCTTTCTTATCTTTACCAAAAACAAAAATTAAAACTTATGTGAAAATATTTATTTATTATAAATCTTAACTATAACATAATCTACTTATTTTAATATATATATATATATATATATATATATTATGAATTTTCATTACATGAAATACACAATTATATTTTGTATTTCATAAATATTAGTTAGTTTTACACACTTTAAATTTAAGCTTGTTTTCATGTGATTTTGTTTATAAATTTTAAAAATTATTGTCAATTAATATTGTAACCTTTTAATGATAATTAAAAAAATGTGTCATTGTTCGGATGGATGTAACGAGAGAATATAAAGGACAAGTATAAAAAAAAATGTAAAGTTATTTATTTATTATAACTTTTACAAGTTTAGCTCACATGGTCACATAAAATCATTATCGGATTAGATTAAAAGGACTCATAATAATTTATAGTGAAAATTTAAAGTAAAATCTTATATTTTGTTGGATTGGTTTAGGTTATATTGATTGCTAAATTAGCTCGAGTCATGAGATATTATGCATAGGATCTATAGTTTTAAAAATTGGAATGGTGATCTACTCAATCAAGATATTGGATAGTGGGTCATTAATCAAATCAATGAATCACATAAATTAATATATAATTGAAATAAAAAAGAATTAAAAATACACTATGAAGATTATTTATGTCAATATACAAGTAATAAAGTTGGTTCAATTGTAGCATCGATTTTAAATACACAAGTTTACTAGTGTTTGAGTCCTATAAACACAAATTTTTTACTATTTTTCTAAAATCCACACGTGTGGGCGGGATTGATGGCTCAAAAGGCAATTGCTGACATTACATTAGAAAGATGCACAAGTAGTAGCACGCATTGCATCAAAAGATACAACAAGCACATGAAGTTCATTGGTTTAATTGAAAAACCAACTAGATCATACTTGTTCATGTTAGGTTAATGACATTTCTGATCGGATATGATAATTGAATTGGTCCACCGATTCTTTGTTTAATTTATTAATCTGGCTGATTCAAGTTAGTTTTTAAAACACTAATTGGGCCAAAATCACTAGATTCAACTCAAACTACTAAAATAAGACCTAAAATCAATGAAAGTTTTGGCAAAAAAAAATCGTCCGAACCCGCACCTAACCAATTACAAATGTATACATTCAACATTTACTAATGTAATTCAAAAGTTAGGCTTCAGAATCTTACCCACTTACTATATAGCATAGAACACCGAAAGGCATTAATAAAACTCAATTTCTGATTCATTAATGGTCTAACACCAAGACTCATAGACAGTTGCTCACAAAAAAAAATTATTCAGATTTCAAAATCATTTTCTTAGTTCTAGTCAACATCGAATAAACTAACAAAGCTTCTCATTTTCTTTCACTTTGACATCTCTTTCATTTATATGAGGAAAGTTGAAAATAACAATGTCTTTTTCCTATCCCTCCTTAGAGACAACATGAATGACAAGGAAATCTGAAGAAGGAAAAAGGGGTATCAACAACACATGCCATTCCATGTGGACGTTACCCCATTGCAACAACACATACATGTAGAAATTGAAGGATAATCCGTGCTTAAGAACCCCTTCCTCATGGACGCAATGTAGAAGTATGTTGTCAAAAACATTGGTGTAATCTTGGAGATTGACCCAATTGCTAGAAACATGACACTGTGACTCCATCTTTGTATATAAAATTTTGAATAATGGAAGTTAATATAGAGAATAAAATAAAATCAAGTTTTCCTATTTCGAATATTTTCAGTACAACAAATATATATACACACACTCACACATGAATAAAGGATAAATATTCAAAAAATATGAAAAGATATTACTTACAATTATTTGAATAATTTGATCAAAATATCTTAACTAATTACATCAACACACCCTTGCAAGATAGTGGTGGAAGAGGCAACACCAATCTTGGAAATTAACCATTTTTGTCGATAAAGCAAAGGAGTTTGGTGAGCAGGTTTGCAAGTTGATGGCTAGAAGGAACATGAAACATTGTGAGTTCCTTCTTGGTAATTAAGTCACATACAAAGTGATAATCAATGGAAATATGCTTCATAAGTGAGTGGAACACTGGGTTGGCACAAAGATATGTGGCTCCAATGTTGTTAGAAAAAATGAGTGAGTCACCAACAATAGGAAGTTGAAGTTCCTTGAATAACTCCTTGATCTAGAAAATTTCAGTTGTAGTTGATCCAATAGTTCCATATTCTGCCTTCGTGAATGATTTGGAAACTATTTTTTGCTTTTTACAAGACTAAGAGATAGCATTGAGACCAAGGTAGATGATGTAAGTTGTAGTTGATTTCATGTCAGATGAGTATTCACCCCAATTTGAGTCACAAAATGCTCGTAAATGAAGGTCAAAAGAATGTTTAAGGTGAAAACCATAATCCAAAGTGCCTTTGAAGTAATGTAGGAGGCATTTGATAGCCTGCATGTGAAGTACCTTTGAAGCGTGCATATATTGTGAGTTAAAAGACAAAATATGCAACATCGGGTCGAGTCAAAGAGAGGTATAAAAGTGAGCTAATGAGGTGACAATACTCTTGTGTTTCACATGAAGGTGTGTCACCACAAATGGCAAGATCACTTGAGGTAGACATAGGTGTTGAGATTGGTTTAACATTTTGCATATTGGATTTTTGTATAATGTCATGAATGTAGTGTTGTGTGAAGAAGAGGTTGTCCATGGTGGGAACCATCTCAATGCTAAGAAAATGACTAGGTGAGCCAAGGTCTTTTAGAGAGAACTTGTCTATAAGAGAGCACTTGAAATAAGAGAGAAATTGCAAATCTTTACCTATAAGTAAGAGATCATCAACATAGACAAGGAATTTGATATAGGATAGTGTAATCATTGGAAATGGAGAGATGACATATGTCATTGGTCACATGGTGAGATGCTCTAGAGTTTAAAAGCCAAAAGGTGTCAGGATAGGCCTCATGTTGACTAAGATTGGCTTGTTGGCAAGAATGATCAACTGGAAAACCATGTAGTCGATAACATGTGCTTGGTAGTATGACCTTTGCGATCACAATATTGATAGATAAAAATTGGGTGTTTAGAGCCTCGACCTTTGAGAGTGATTTGTGTAATTGGCACTAGCAAAAAAAGATTATTGTTGACGTTCATCACGCTGCATGTAAATTTAAAAATCTACTAATTTGTCAAAAAGTTCATCAAACAATAAAGTAGTGTCTCTACTGCAAATTGAGGTTGTGAATTGGCAAAACAATGGTCCAAGACCATTGAGAGCATTAATGACAAGATCAAGGTCATCAACAAGATGATTGATAAGAGAAAGTTCATCCACTATTAGTCGAATTGAACGTAAATAGTCATTGACACTAGAGGTGCCTTTGGTGATAGATGAAAAACACTCTTTTAAAGACATTGCATGAGGGTGAGACCTATTCGCATAATGTTTGTTTAAACTCGTCCATGCAACAGTAAAAGAAGTCGTCGAGGTCATGACAAGTTGTGCATCAAGTCCATAAGAGAAAGTTCATCCACTATTAGTCGAATTGAACATAAATAGTCATTGACACTAGAAGTGCCTTTGGTGATAGATGAAAAACACTCTTTTAAAGACATTGCATGAGGGTGAGACCTATTCGCATAATGTTTGTTCAAACTCGTCCATGCAACAGTAAAAGAAGTCGTTGAGGTCATGACAAGTTGTGCATCAAGTCCATAAGAACTAAGAAACGTAAGGAACACATAGCGATCATGACATTTCTAATGGGTGTAGGCAAGATTGCTAGTGATAACATCTCTTTCCCTAATAGTTGGAAAGGGATAAGGTGTGTCACCAATGACGTACCCATAATGATCATGGGCTTGTAAAAAATAGTTAATTGAGTATGTAGAGTGTGGTGGTTGTTAGAACTAAGTTTAATGGGAAAAATGTATGCAATGGTGAGTTCTACAAGCACAATGGTAGTTAGGGAAGCCATAGGTGGATCGAGAAGAAGCTGTAAAGCTATAGGCTAATCTAATACCATATAGAGAATAAAATAAAATCAAGTATTCTTATTTTGAATATTTTCACTACAAAAAATATATATAGACATGAATAAATGATAAATATCCAAAAGATTTGATAAGATTAATTACAATTATTTGAATAATTCGATCATAATATATTAACTAATTACACCAACATTTAGCTTGAAGGACCCGCCACTTGAACAAGCTCTCACTTGACTTAGCCGATCACTTAAATAGACAAATGCACATTGATTTTTTGCTTTCATTTGTGATTTGTTTCAGGTTTATATATTTTGAGACGAAATCATTTGAAATTGATGCTAAACACCCCTAATTTTATTAAGTGAATTTAGGTTGGGTTAATAGTCATTACTACAGGATGTATTATCTACATCGATTTTGCAAAGTAATCTACATCGGTTCTAAAATCAATGTAGAATAGGGCGACTTAGAAATACATACACTTTTACATCGGTTTCAAAATCGATGTAGATTTGTGCAAAATCTACATCGGTTTTGCTGACAACCGATGTAGATTGCATTTTTTTTTATAAAAAAAAAGTTTCATTTATTTTTTACATTCTTTTTGATTACCTGTAATAAACACACACACACACACACATACACACACACACACATATATATATATATAGTAGAAGAGCAAACCATATACTAATTCAATGTTATTTGAACCTATTATTTCATTTATCTAAGTAGGTAGAACATCCAAATATAAGTCATCTTATTTCATCAACTACATACATATAATTCATCTCATTTCTTCAACTAGATAAATAAACTAGATAAATATAATTCAGTTTAAGGTACCTTACTAAGAAGATATGACAAACTACATATGTGTTGACTAATGGCTGTCAACAAGAGAAGTATCACCCTCTGCACACTTCCTGCCAAATCAAAATCAAGTTTAAGATTTATGTGACTAGAATCTAGCCTTTCTAAGCATCTCATATTTCTGTCAGCATTAAGGATTTTTACTAAATGGCAGAAACTTAGATTAAGTCTGTACATACATGGGAAAGTAGATGCGGAAGTAATCATATTATATATATTTTAATTTTTCTAATAAATTTTAATATTTTAATTATATATATATTTTATATTATATAGATTAAATATATTTTTTAATGTTCTTCCAACAATACAGTTCTGAGTAATCATCCCATCACTCCATGTTCAGGCAACACTATTTATAGAAAGAAATAATTTTTAATTTTATCAACAATCATTATTTCCGTAAGAATAGAATATTCATAAGTATAAGTCCCTTTTCGTGCAGTAATATTAAGAATAAATCTACAATAATAATTATATAGTTTACGATTAGGTTTTTGAAATTAGAATTCGTTTAATAATAAAGAGATTGAGTAAGTTATATGAAATCGTAAGAAGTAAGTTTGACAATTAATTTTATTGTCATCAATACAAAAACAAGAAAAACAAAGGGTAACTTTTACTAATAACTATTATTATAAATAAATATAAAATAAGCAGTAAAAATAAATTGTTGAAAAGGATAAGCTAAAGTGCAATGCTTGCTTTAATATATTTTATTTGGTTCCATACTTCCATAAAGTCTGCATAGCCTTTTTATAGTCGATGAAAAAGAAAACTGTAAAGATAAATAGATGGGGTTTAATTATATCCATGCTCCTTATTAATTATCCTCGTGGAACTGATCATTTTGTAGCCTAAAAATATGTATGTGTATGGGTCAAGATGTAAAACAATACTTCATTTTATAAAATTAAAAAAAATATATTCTTATTAACCTTTTTACAAAGGTTTGGGTTTTTTTTAAGTATTGTGAGATTGAAGATTGCCTATGTTTCCAAATTGACAGATTCATAGCACAATTCAACGATATAAGTTTCTATCCACACTAACCATCTTGATTTAGCATACTAGACAAAATGTTCATTGACTTAGTTTCAAGTTACATAGAAGGATTAAAAAAAATTGTACTATCCTCTGTTAAACATTACAACCAACAAAAACAGAATCATATGCCAACACTACTGACACAAGGATTCTATGATAACAGACAAAATATAATTTTATGTTAGCATGCTTATTCAAAATTCACATCAGTTCCTTTTATGAATCAGGCACACAAGCTATAAGCCATCAGGGACATTTCTGAATTAAAATATATGAATCAAAATCAGGCACACAAGCTAACAGATATCAAAGATATTATTTCATAACTCTCTAGTACACTTGGTTTCAACATTTTGGGATCTGTTCACTGTAATATTTTATTAAAACTTGCATTATGGTTGATGGATATTTGCATTCTGTCAATTATAATTCACATTATCCTTTGTTTTTACTTTCTACTAGAAACAGTGAAAAATTAATGGAATAGTATTAGCAACTTCTTGCAATGACAATTATCTCAGTATTGGATCTGTTCTGAAAACTTCTTTTTTTTCTCTCTTTATCTGTAGTGTGGATGAAAGTTCAAGTAAAAGGAATTGATGAAACATGTTATCTAATTTTCTTTTATTTAATCCCTCTGGCTTCTAGGTCATGTTTAATTCCTCTTGTTAGTAGTTGATGTCTTTGATTATTGATTTCATTCCAGAACATGATTTTCACCTTGACTCAACTGGAACAGTTGGAGCATAATGCTAAGCTTTTTGATTCTGCAAAAATCATTTTCAAGTTAAAGATATGTTTCTGCAAAACGAAAAAACAAGCTCTCACCAATGTGAAAGATGTTGTCCACAACACTGAATTGGTTCTTGGAAATGCCATCATGGACATTTCTGAATTAAAATAAAGTCTTTCTCTACCAACTCTAAGTAATCTCTAGTGTATTTATATGCTATATGAATTGATTAAGACCATTTGGTGCTAGCCATTCTATATGTTACCAACCAACTTCTGATCACCACTTCTAGTTGCTGCAGTGGTGAAACCCAAATAGTGACATGATAAAAATATCAAAGAAGTCTCTCTATTACTGTTGGTGATCAACATATATCCTTGTCATCCCACTTATGCATATTAATATACCAGGTTGTAACAGTGAATCATAACGAATGGAGGAAAATTAATTATTCATTTGTGTGAGTATACTAGCTAGTATACTCGTCCTAGGTGGCATTCTTGCCGGAGCAGGATAACCCAAACACTAGCCTCAGTCCAGAAGGAAATTTCAATACATGAAAGACTTGGCATGCACAACCAAAAAGATTAAGCAAAATGTATCACAAGAAAAATCATATACAGAGATTAAACAAAATTAACGTGGTGAAAGAGAGGTATACGAAGACCAATATTGAGAATATTACCTTTTAAAAGTGCTACAGCAAGGACCTCAAGCAACAGTGAAACCAAAGCAAAACTTCGTGATATATTTGTCTTAAATATTGTAGCTGGGATGAACTTCGTGAACAGATTACTTCAGTAGCAGCTTCAATAAAAGCTTCCTATACAAACCTTCAAAAATAGAAAATAAGGTACCATTTTTGTAACTAAAAATAATAATAATAAATGTTCTCAAATTAAAGAAGCCCCATGAATGCAGTTTGCTGCCCAATCTTTGCATATATAGAGCTATTCCCTTGAAACAGCCTTGAGCTGTGTTGAAAAATTATGCAGAAAAGAGAAATTTGGAAGAGTTGGATAGGGAGAGACAATATATAAAAACATTTCAGGTTGACGAACAAGCAATTGTCTCAAGCTTATGCCTCAAATCTCAATTTATAGCAACTGCTGGAGGAATAACACAGGAATATTTAATCATCCTAACAAGAACAATTGCCTTCGGCTTATGCTTTCATATCTATGACGATAGAACAAAAATTGATACAAGTAATAAAACATTCATATTGAACACTGAAATCATACAAAATACAACAATATCATTGCTGTCCCAGTGATAGAAGTCTTCTACATTGAATATTCTCTGTCCACAAATTACAAATAACTTCACACTGCTTAATTACACAACCTACAATCAGATATATTCTTCTAATACATAACTACCAGCAATTATTTTCTACAAATAACTGCCATCATGCAGTTTCTAACAAAAAACTAACTACCAGCAGCTAGTTTCTACACAACTATAGTTCATATCATATGGACTGCTGGACGAATAATACTGGAATATTTGATCAACCTACTTAGCGACCAATCTCTTCCCATAATTCATGGCCCACATTATGGTCCTTAATTTTAGGGGTCAAAACTTTCTTAACCTCATTGACAAACAGGATTCAAAAGAGAAATCAAGAACATAACTTGATACAATTCAAGGTCAGAAGAGAAAATGCTAGAAAGTTTAGTAAAATGAAAAGAGAAGTTTGGAGAAAATGGAGATTCTCTGAGTTCTGATTCTGATTAATTGTTATTATGTTTTCTGTTAGCTAGATTTGCATATATATATATATATATATATATATATATATATATAAATAACTGAAGGTTAACAGAAATCTATTCATCTAATTGAGCTGACTTAACAGTTGTTAATCTAACTGAGTAATAGAATAGTAAGTACACTAAAACAACTCTATCCCATTTCAATATTTGGTGCAAATTAGCAACGTTAAATTTGTGGGCAGCTTCCTTTATTCTTCCTTTATTTTGCCTTTATCAGTTTACGCACTCTGTATGTTCTAGGGTAATAAATTAAATTTCTTAAACAAAATGAGTTCCATTAATTTTTGAGGTATCCCAAATATTGAATTTGAGTTGCAAACCCTTTCAATTATCTTTCTTGAAGAATGGCTTCCAAACAAGAGAATTGATTATTTGAATAAATCAAATCTGTTTTGTTTTTTAGTTTATTTTTCTCTTATGTATGCCCAAACTTTGCCAGGTTCCAAGGAAATTTACCAGTAAAGTTGAAGGGAAGATGAATTATGAAGATTTTGTTTATTTTATACTTGTTGAGGAAGATAAGTCATCTGATCCTAGTCTAGAATACTGGTATACTTACTAGTTCCTACCCTTCTTAAATACTGGAGATCTATTAGCAGCAATAGAAAGTAATACATCTTGACTGATATATGAGTATATGAAAGCTTGGAGCATAGATGGATGCAAGTTATTTTCTTAACTGTATGACTTAAACTGAAAATTTTCTAATAATAATAAAAACATGGAAAAACTTGATGTTGGTTTCTTTGGTTCTAAATATACCATCTTCCTGTCTTGTATTATAAGTTTCTTTAATAAGGCATCATGCTATTTTTGTGAAATAGGTACTTCATCAGTGGTTTAGTTCTTTTGTTACAATACTTCATTTTCTTAATGCTTTTCTTTCTTATTGTAATTGTTCAATTGATAATTTTATTAAATCACAATTCTGTGATTTATTGACCTATAGTTTAATATAAGCATGCTTAAAAAAAGTATTGCTGAGAGTACGTCAAGCAAACTCTGATGACAAAATCGGTCATGTAATATTCAGTACACAAAGCCAATTTAATGATATGAAAACAGTATTGTGGTGAGTAAACACAATACAACCAGGGAATTAACAACTCTACAACTTAAAAAAACTGAAGAAAAAAATTCTAAAACTAGGGAATCAAATTGCTTCTTACGTCTAACTACACTTTACAAGAGATAAAACAGTAACCAGAAACTAGAAGTAAAAGGCCGAAAAGAAAAACAGGGAACAGAGTAGTTACCAATTTACCATCAATCAAGGCCTTTGCACTTGTTAGCTCTTTCGCTAATAATTAATTTTTCTGGCACTCAAGAGGAGGCAGCAGAGGCATATGATGTTGCAGCCATAAAATTCCGAGGACTGAGTGCAGTTACAAACTTTGACATGAGCAGATATGACGTTAAGAGCATTCTTGAGAGCACCACTTTTCCAATTGGTGGTGCTGCCAAGCGTTTGGAGGACATGGAGCAAGTGGAACTGGGTGTGGATGGCCATAGAGATCAAGAAGATCATAGCATTACGAACTCTCACATCACTCAAGGAATCAGTAACAACTATGGAGGAGCATAGCAAATCTGCAGCCTTAGGATCTTTGGCTGGTATGCCTCTCCTAGAGGACATTTTACACATTTCAGACACTTATGTGCAACAACACTTGATTCTTAATTAGAATCAACAGCATGACTCTGCTATGGCTCAACATTTGGCAGATTTTAGCCCAATTGAAACAAATACAGAAAAAGAAACCCTAGTTTTTATTTGACTTAAACAAAATGTAATGCATCATTGAGTTTCTGGGGTTACCTCAACCACGTCAGCAGTGCTAACTAAGTAGATGCTGCAAATGCTGCCTTCGACGACAAACTTTAGCAAGACGACCACCACATTTCAGAGAGCTCCTCCGAGAGCGTCTATGAATTTGAAGCACCAACACGCATTTGTACACTCATGAGAAACGCAACAACAAAGAAGAAAAACCTAAGATAAACAACAAAACTAGATGAGTTTACCTAATGCTGTTCGTCAAAGAGGGCGAAGAGAAAAAGGATCGTTGTCAGTCGATGGTCAACAAGACTTCGTGTCAAAATGTTGAGAAGAGTGTGTGAAAGAAGACAACAGAAGAGGGCTCGAAACTTTGTCAACGGGTTTCGCTTTCCGTCGTTGCTCGCGGCGGGCTGGGTACGTTGCTGAGTGAAAGGGTATGCTTTCCCAGGGTGTTCGTGGGGCAGATATTTAGGTCTCACTTCTACATCGATCATAAGCAAACATGATGTAGAACAACTTCCTAATTTCATTTATACATCGCTCAATAATAAAATTAATATAGAATTGTTCAAATTTACATTATTTCTTGGCCTAACCGATGTAAATATGTTTATATTTTCTATTTATTTACAAGATTGTTACCACGTTTATAATTTACATCAGTTCTACTAGAATCAATATAAATATAGTGATGTTAAATAGTATTTTTCTAGTAATGAGTAAGCTTGATCCAATAGTAGGCTAAAACATACTGAGGTAAAAAAAAAAATCAAATTCAATGTAGGCTTCCAAAATAAGTCTTAAGGCCAATAAAAGTTCAATTTTAAATAATTTCTTTACAAACTAACTCACATCAAGACATGATCAAAATCGAGCTAAAATGACATTCTTTAATTTGTGCTCAATTTTTAAGATTTAAGCCTTAAATTTCATCAAGCAAGTTCAAGTTGGTCACAAACTCCATAACATTTGAAATTATAATAGTTAGGCCTAAAAGCCCAAATTCAATATGAGCTTTTAAAATAAGGCACAAGCCTAATTTGTACAAATTTTGTAGATTAAGTTCATATTAAAATGGTCCAATATGGGTATGATTGGATCATATTAAAAAAAACTCAAATTTAATCAATGCTCACAATTTAAAACTCAAACTTGCTTTAATTAAGCATGCACTAGTAGAAAAAACACTTAGATTGGTCATTTTTTAGTTTTAAGATTAGTTAAAGAATCGATCTTAAAAGAGTTAATTTTAAAAGTTGAACTTTTTAAGATCGACCGTCAGCCGATCTTAAAAGTTTGCTTTTAAGATCGGTCACGCCAATAGTCGATCTTAAAAGCTAGACTTTTAAGATTGGTCATGCTAATAGCCGATCTTAGAAGCTAGACTTTTAAGATCAGTCATGCTAATAGCCGACCTTAAAAGTTGAACTTTTAAGATCGGTCATGCTAATAGCCGATCTTAAAAGCTGGACTTTTAAGATCGGTCATGGTAATAGCTGATCTTAAAAGTTTGATTTTTAAGATCGATTATTGTAATAGTCAATCTTAAAAATTGGACTTTTAAGATAGGCTATTACCATGACCGATTTTAAAAGTTACGAATTTTTTTTAAATGATTAGTTTATTTTGAGAAGATTCCTGAACAAAACTTACAAATTAATACTAGACAATTGATATATTTTCAATAGTCCACAATACATACAAAATACAAGAGAAATTTTTGGAAACATTATTCAATACAATAATGTATACACAATAAGTACATAATAAGTATTTCATAAAGAATAAGTCCTAACTAGTTAGTGTTTTAATGAAAAATGTAGTCCATTGCTCCCTAATGATGTTGATGTCTTCTGATGACAATGGTGATCGATCTATAAATATCTATAAAGAAAATTTAGAACAATTAGAAGTATTCATAAAACATGACAAAATGAAAATTTAAAATAAAAACTTTCAAAATTGTAAAACTTACTTCAGTCCACCCAGATACTATTTGTGAATTAACAATAGTATGCATTGCCTTCATTACATAGTATTTGCACTCATAGTTTCCTATTTGTTTATGAGACTGCAAAAACAATATAATAATTAATTTCAATAATAATGGTAATTCAAAACAAAATACCTTAGAAAAATATCATTATTAGAAAAAAATTACTTACTTTAACAAATAACCACTACACTTTTTTCTTCGACTTTGAACCCCTAAGTATATGATATCCTTCCATGGTCCTATAATAAAATGATATTATTATTATAGTTTAAAACAAAATGTAATGAAAATCAATAAATCAAAGTAGTTTTTTTAAACAACTTACTTATCTAATAACTGTTTGAAGTCTGCAGGGGGAGGTTTATACATTTAACAAAAGCATAAAGATCTATTCTCCATAGGACAGATAACTATAAGTTGCCAATGAGACATGAGACAGTTGAAAAATGTACACGTTTTGGAAACATGAGACAGTTTAGGTCAGAGTGTATGTGAACACATGCACACACCACACACAAAATGATGCAATTTTAAGCCATCTGGAAAAAAATATAGTACATAAAAAAGACCTCTAAGAAGAAATGTCAGTTGAAAAGAGAAAATTTTACACAGAATTAAAATGAAGTTCAACGTAACACTACCAAGATTGAGGAGCTAAGCGATCAGTTGAAATCAGTTCCTAAGCCAGGTAACTCAATTTCATATCTTCCTTTAAATGTTGCACCAGAAATAAGTCAGTTTGTAATGCAAGTAAGCATTTAAAATTTTAAACTTGAAGTGGGAGGAAGAAGCTAAAGAAATACAAGGATATTCTAGGTGCCACACATCAACATCCAGGTTTCCTATGTAATTTTGTAGATGACAACCAACAAAAAAAGTATTCATTTTAGCAATACATGGTTTATTAGCTTCTTCCCTGAATTTTTAGCCTGTAGCTACGTATAAGAGAAAAAATAGGCTCAAACATATTCTAGGTGTAACATTAGCCTAGGAGCCCAGAACAAGGCTTTTCCAAATTACGCTTTTCCAAATGATCAACTAGCTCAAATTACGCTTTTCCAACCTGCATTAAAACATGTTCAAGTAAGGAGATTTCAAGGGGATTGAATTGGTGAAACAAAATCCAAACCTTATCTGGAAAGTGACAGTTTTTTCATTCTGACCTTGAGAACAAGGCTGTTTCTGTACCAGGAGGCATTGGTAGGTTGAATTTTATACTTAATTAAAATTAATTATACAGGACTCTTTAGTATTAGCTGTGCCTTAATATGTGAGAAATCCATTTTTTTTCTTCTTATAAATGAGAATAGAATAGAGGATAAGTATTTTTTGAAGACCAATAAAGTTAACAAATAAATGAATTTTTTTAAAATAATTTTATAAAAACAATGTCTTTATTGGTCTTTGTTTAAAAGGAGATAACACGACAATCTTCTAAAATCTATTATTAAAATTTAAATGAAAAATGTAATTGATATTATATTAAAAAAACTAAAATATCACTCTTCCTACCTGCAAAAGAAGTACACTCTTACATGATGAATTGATGATATTCAATGGACTCACTTTCTAATAATTTTTTTCGATTTACTGATTCCTTAAGTTGTACTTTGGGACACTTGACAGCGGATTAATGAGATTATTACAAAAATTACAGAAAACGGTAGAAAAATGTAGTTAATGCAAATACAATTGGCTATAATTCACAATCATGGTTTTTTACATCATATATATTATTGGTAATTAAACAGAAAACAATGGGTCTCAACTAGTTATCGACCTAACACTTCTCAGCACTTGATTCATAAATCGTACACACTCTAGCTTGACTAATAATTTACTCGTTGTTCAGTGATGCATGGTAGGTACCAATCTTGTGTAACAGGAACAATAATAAAACAAACCAATAATCTATTTCAATTAAAATTATTTGAATCAAGGAACAAAAACAACACATTCGCAAAATCACATTTTATAATAATTATTTGAATTTTGATGGCAGGGAACAACACAAATTTATAATAATTAATGGCGGAAAACAAAAAGAAACTTGCAAGCATAAACATTAGCATCATCACTCACATTTGCGAATTGGGAATCGACATTCGAGTAAAATTATTTGAATCAGGGAACAAAAACAACACAGTCGCAACATCACATTTTATAATAATTATTTGAATTTTGATGGCAGGAACAACACAGACTTATAATAGTTAATGGCGGAAAACAAAAGAAACCTGCAAGGATAATCATTCACAGCATCACATTCGGCGGAGGAGAAAAATTGGGATTAGGGATTTCACTTTCTTCTCACTGTTTTCTTCTCACATTGCGTATCCGTGCTCCAAATGCCACACTCTCTCTCTTCTCTCCCTTCACATGTTGCTTCTTAAAAGATATTTAATAAGTTATTTTAATGCATGCATAAGTTATTTTAATGCATGCATAAGTTATTTTAAAAATTGGGATTAGGGATTTTCATTCTAATGCACGCATAAGTTATTTTTAAAAAATTATAAACTACTTTTATTTTATTTTTTAATTTTAAACAAACTAATTCAAAACTTTTTTTAAAGAATATTTAATACACTTATATATAAATATATAATTTTTTTAACAAAATTCCTATAAATAAATCATCACCATACATTTATTTTCAAAAATGAACTTTTAAGATCGGTCATTAGAGAGCCGATCTTAAAAGTGACACAGTGACATTTTTGTAAATAAGGTTACAACTTTTAAGATCGGTCACATTTTAGCCGATCTTAAAAGTATTTTTAAGATTGGTTACATTTTAGCCCATCTTAAAAGTACTTTTAAGATCGGCTAAAATGTGACCGATCTTAAAAGTTGTAACCTTATTTACAAAAATGTCACTGTGTCACTTTTAAGATCGGTTAAAATGTGACTGATCTTAAAAGTTGTAACCTTATTTACAAAAATGTCACTATGTCACTTTTAAGATCGGCTAAAATGTGATAGATCTTAAAAGTTGTAACCTTATTTACAAAAATACCACTGTGTCACTTTTAAGATCAGTTAAAATGTGACTGATCTTAAAAGTTGTAACCTTATTTACGAAAATGTCATTATGTCACTTTTAAGATCGGTTAAAATGTGACTGATCTTAAAAGTTGTAACCTTATTTACAAAAATGTCTCTGAATCACTTTTAAGATCGGTTCTCTAATAACCGATCTTAAAACTAATTTTTGTACTAGTGATGTTTTAGTCAAATGAGTATTTTTGTCCTATTTTATTATCTCTAGTGAAGATCAAATACAATGTAAAGAGAAAACTACATACACACATGTGGCCAAAAATATTGAAAAGAATGTGACATATTCTAAAATCTTAAAATTAGAGCTAGATTTTTTTTATTCTTTTCGTTTTCAAAAGTGAGTTAAAATAGTTATGAAATTTATTTAAAAATATTTCAACCCCCTTATACAAACAAGTTTTATTTTCAATATTAAGTTTGAAAAAAAATTAAAAACTTTTAACTAACTTAAACAACACCTAAGAACCATTTGAGATGATTGTGAGTTTTCAATTTTTAATTAAAAATATAAATTAAAAAATGTTCCAATAAAATGACATAGTATTGAATTTTTACAAGATTTAAAATTAGGTTTCTCTTTGGTTTAAAAATAATATAAAAAAGGTTTAATGCTTTGTATTTTTATCACAATTTATCTCTATTCTAACATGATGTTCACAATCTTTCTCTAAGCTTCCTTGGTGATCGCCAAACTAGTGTTATTAGATTAAACTCAGACCAACTAGTTCAACCAATTCACTTAGAAACTGGGCATTCAATCAATGTGAGTCATTATGGATCACAAATGCTTTTGAACAAGTGCAACCCAAACTAACTCGATGAGTTTAGTGAAATATTGGTAACCCAGGGTCATGTTAACTTGAACGAGTCAAGCATTTTCATTTGAAATGAAGCTACAACACATCCGAGAAAGGGTTAGGTATGAAATGTGGGGAAAAATAGTAACATGATTTGAAAAAATAGTCTTTTCAAGGAGTTTGAGTCCCACTTGTGTGAAAATTTTGAAATAGGTTTACCCCTATGTCATGTAAACTTTATAAAAAAAAACAATGAAATTTTTAACACTATACAAAGGCTTGACACATGAGATAATAAAGTTGTTGCATACAAGGGATAGTTACAAATGTAAAAAATTTAACATAGATGAGATTCGATCCTTGCTCCCTAAAATAGCTAATGACAAAGCAACCGTTACAAGCATGAAATCAATAATAAATAAATACTAAAACCAAGTGATTATACAAATCCATTACAAGCAAAATAACTAACATTGGTCTTAAAGATAACACAATCTCAAATTAAAACATAAATTCTAAATTATGAATTTCAATGTCATCTTATCAAAGCTCAATCCATCAGAAAAACACAAGGCTTGGGGCTCATTACTAGCATCGTCATCAAGATGATCTTCACTTCCAAAACACATAAAGAGCCACAACAATGGAAAAATGAGAGTCAGAAATATTTCACTTTGACAACTAATCTGAGATATAATTAGATAGTCACACAAACAAAAATATAACATATACATATAAATTGGATCAACATAACATTAATAACAATTATAACTTAAAAATAAATTAACATATCAAGAAGTTCACGGTTCACATAAATGCATAGGGCACAAACTTCACTATTATATATACATGTGACACCAGTAAAAATACTTTATCCTTGCCCAAAGGCATGTATATAATAATGTAGGAGAATATGTCAGGTCAAACTATCACAACACTTTATACTAGAAGAATATAAATTAGGATATGTCGGGACAACGATATTGCACAAGTTTCTCCCCATGCACACAAACAGGTAGAATTGAGACTCCCAAACTCAGTTATCCACAAGGTTATGAATTCTCATATTACGCAAGGGGGACCTTCCTTGACATTGTATTTGTATCATACCCTTCAAACAAAACACTTATGCTCATGATACATGTCACATAGGACCTAATGCATATTTTATGGTATATCATCATCACATGTCTTAATCACATCATTGTTAGACAATCATGCTTAAACTTTATCCTAGGTAAGCCTCAGCTAAAACTTCATGTCACATGACTGTAACATGGTCCATGATGAGTCATTATTTTCCCCTATTTTCTTACCTTTCTGTACTTATTTTAATCTCTGATTTGCGCTTAACTGTTGATTATATCCACTGTTTTCTATTTGGGCTTTAATTGGACCGGTAATTCATATTTTAACTAATTTGAGTTTTCAAAATCTAATTATTCCAAAATTTTATTTTCAGGGCAGTTTAGTAATTATCTGGGCTTGGAATTAATTTCTGGATTTCAAGTGGAGCTGCCACATCATCTGCCATGTCATTTTTCCACCTCAGCATTTAATTTCATTTTTTTTATTCTGTTTTATTTGTAATTTTCGGGTCAGACCTAACCTGGGGCCCATGTTGACTCTTTTAGGTTTATTTTAGGGTCCTAGGGCAGCCACCAACCTCCAGACTTGATGTGACCACGTTGGGGCTGCCTCTCTTGAGTTTTCTGGACGTTTTTCCTTCATGCAGCTACAGTGTTTTGATGTTTCTGATTCCCTGTTGCTTTCATTTACGTTTTGCTCTCTTTAGCTGCCATTTTCGTTTTACTCTCTTCTTCTCCTCTTATATGCATTTTGTATCTGAACTGAACCTTTACATTTGAAATACAGATTGTCATTTTCGTTTCCTTCTCTGCCTTGCATTTTCGTTTTCTGTTTTCATTTTAATATGGAAGGCTAAAAGCCCCTGGGTTGGGTTCTTGTTGTGGATTGTAATCTCTCTTTGAGGTTGGGTATGTTTGTATGTCTCTGTTCTGCTTGTTCTTCTCCATTTAACCTCTCTGTCCATGCTTAATGGGCTGTGCTCCAAGCCACAGTTGCTTAATCTGTGAAAGGGAAATCTTGAGTTAATCTTCGCTTAGTTGGTTAACTCGGATGGAACAAGGATTAAGTGGTTAATAGAGTAATGTTTGAGAACCAGGGATAAAAGAGTTACAATCCGAACAAGGAGCCAATCCATTTTTACTTGCTGTTTTATTTCGTTTTATTGTGTTACGAACTGAAAACCTGAAAGCAAACCCCCCTACTGTGTGTTTAAGCCTTTAACAGTAAACGACGGTCCTTGGGAGACGACCTATGAGTCACTTCCTAGTACTACATTTAATTGTATTTATTTGACCGGATACGGCTCCGATCAGTCCACACATATAAACATTACACATCAACGTTAAACAACCAAAAAAGATAAGCAAGATAATCAATATTTACCTTTAAACTACTCAAATAATTCACCACTTAATCATTATCTTATTACCCTTAATACCAAGGATCATACTCTTGGTTAGATGCCTCCAAATAACACCATCACATTATAATTTACGTACTCGCTCATATGTAGTGGTGCTCGGCGAAGAACACCCTGCACCTGATGCCAGACCCACAAAAAGCACATATTGCTCTTTGAAAGTCTTTTGCTTGGTGTGACTACACTCATGCCCAATGAATTAGCACTAGGGAGCCCCTAGATCTACTATGCTCAATGTTGCCCAACCCACACCCTGTAACATCCCGAATTTTCTACTAATATAATAGTTTAATTATTATTTATTTTTATATTTATTGGGATTATTTTCTTATAATTGTTTTAATTAATTAAATGGGTCTTATAGAATATTTTAGATGTTTTTAATAATTATGAGTATTTTAATTAAATAATAAATATTTATGAAAATTATTTTGTGTAATATTTATTAGAGAACTATGTATTCTTATGATATTTTGTTATAATAAGTATTTGGAGAAAATTATGTGTTTTATTATAATTATTTATATATTTTATTTTAGTTATTTATAATAAGGGAAGAAAAATTATTTTTGATAACCATGATTCACATTTTTACTAAAGGGTTAAAGGGCGGTTAGGTTTTAAAAAGAAAAAAAAAAGAGAAAGTTGATCAATTTTACATTTTACATTTTCTCACGTACGCGTTTACGCTTCAAAGCTCGGAGAACCGGAAGGAGGAGGAAATCACCCCAGACTTAACCATTCATCTTTTCTGCTCAACAAGGTAAGGGGAAGTGAGAAACCTCGCTCTAGGTGTGAGAATGTATGTTGGGTAGTGGGATTGACCCTCAATCCTGTGTTTGTTGTATGCTCATGTATGAGGGGATTTCCTCAATTGTGTTTATTTCATCTATTGTTCTTCTTGTATGTAATTAATTGTATGAATTGCTTGAATGAATGCATATTTAAATTTGAGTTTGAATATGTTTTGATATGAATTAGAGTGCCCTATGGAGACTATGTGAATATGATGAGAAAA